CGCTTGCCAAGCGTGGCAACTATGGCAAATATCCCCCTTCGAGACAATCTATGTGGGAGGCCTACGTTCAGCAGCGGACTTTAATAGGCTGTGACGATAACGGTAGTAAACAAACTTCAAATGCATTGTATAGCTACGTATAGAAAGGCTTTTAAACGTACAATACGTAGGACCCTGTAAAAGTGAAATCGTGACATTTCCCTCTACATTTAGGCACCTAAACCGTTTGCAAACAACATTGAGAGCGGTGCGCGAGTAAATGAACGGGGGGTAGAGGGATCCTAAACAAAAGGTGCGAGCCCTCCCCCACCCCATTGCCACATCGACCCGGCCTAGAGGGTGAGGTGTGAGGTGGCCACTGTGACATTCTCCAGACAGATATTCCCAGAAATAATTTTTTTATGTCTAAAACATGGTGTTTTTAATGCTTGTGATTATATTTTTCAGACAGAAGGGTAAACTGAATGGTTCATCAATTATTTATGTAATTTATGAACATTATTATCATGAGATAACTTTTGCTGTTAATTTAAAAACTTTTATTTTAATTTGATGTACAAATAAATATGAAGAGATAAGTACATCGATTGCAGTTTATAACTTTTTTACAAATAATATAATAATTATTAGATATTATTTTCTAGCGATCATAGTGGACCATAACTGTTAGTATTAATTGTAATTTCCAATGTATTCTTTAGTTTAAAAAATATAATTAAATTAGTAGTTATATCTAAATTACCCATAGTAAAAATGGAGTAAAATTGATAATTAATATTGTTGTTAACGGTAAACGTAAACCAATTATAATTATTTGTAATGACACATACGGGTACGTAAATGGTGGCATACTTTTTTTTTGAAATACAACTTAACTGAAAACAATTTTAACAAGTGATAAAATTAAAAATTATGTGCAACCGACTTCAAAATAAATTATTAAGGATAACTCAAAAATTATTGGTCAGACCTTGATCAAATTTCCCGTCCGTGAGAAGTCAACTTTCAAATAAAAAAAGAATCATCGAAATCGGTTCACCTAAAAAAAAGTTATGAGGTAATACACATTAAAAAAAGCATACAGTTGTTGAGTACCTCCTCCTTTTTGAAGTCTGTAGAAAGTCGGTAGAAAGTCGGCTAGATGCTGAGAAAACGTTTTGAATGATGAAAACCACCAACAACTCATTTGCAAAACTCAAATTACTGCCTTAAACTTTCGAGTACGTACTAAGTTCTACTAAGCAATTGTGTTAAACGAAAGAAAGACAAAAACTTTAATTTATAAGGTAGGTATGCTAGAAATGAGAAAATCTAATTCCATTAATCACGGCAGATGTAACACATATAAATTTTATACCCTCGAATATATAATGAAGAAATAACTGACACAACGACAAGTAATATATTATATTTTAAAAAATGGGGCTGTCACCCCAGGTCTGTCGCCCCAGGTATTTAAATTCATTTAGACTCATTTCCGTTTTCTCCATGTTTTCACGCACAAAGCAACAAATTTACTTGCTTCCGCAATATGATTGGTAATTTCACCATAGAAATTAGCAATCACTGCTCCGTTGCCCAGGTTTATAATACTGCGCAATTTCAATCACCTACGTGAAACACGCAAAAAAGACCTCTGGACAGACAGACAAACTGATAGACACTGATGTCAGTCAGTTTCAGTCTAATAATTTCAATTTCAGTCAAATTAAACACTAGTATCATCGGATACTGATTAATTTGACTGAATTTGGTACGGTACCTCAACAAATAAATTAAGTAAACTTCTTAAAAGATCCATGTGTAGCATACAGCCATCTTCTCTATTAATATTTCAATAGGCTCGCGAATCATCCTTGGTAGGAATTGATGTTCTTTTGCGAGGATTTGCTGTCTATCAAATTTAATGTAATAGCGAGAGCGATCTTGTACGTGTTTACTGTGGGTACTGACCGTGGGTACCTACTGTGTGAATGAATGGAAAAAAATGTATAAAAGAAAATTTAAAAAAATATATAAAAAGAATTATCCATCGAACGCCTCACGCATGTCCATCGTATACTCGGGGTGGTTGTGCTTTTTCGCAGCGCGTGTCACTTGAGCGGCGGGGCGCGGGCGCGGCGACCGACACTGCGGGCGTCGGGATCCGGCGTCCGGGCGCCGGGTTGCCATGGCGACGACACCGCGACACCACCCCACCCACCCCGAGATCCACGGCACTCAACCCAAAACCACCCTTATAAACAACTACACACAGCCCACGATTGCTCACTTATATACCCGTCCAACACATAAGGGACCCCTGTCTACATAAGACGGTACGGTCAGGCGATGTAAATAACGCGAGATAACTTCGAGAGGGTCTAATGGAATAGGGAATCGTGTTTTGGAAAGTGCCCCGGAGAGAATGTTCTGGGTTGTTAACTCACGATAAGGGGCCCCTGCCATGTTAAGTGAAAGTCGATATAGGGATTAGGTTGGCGAAATTCGATTATTCAACCGTTCGTACAACAGCGTAATAGTGTAAGGCGACCGCATTCGCAAACCCTCTGAAACGATACCGTCGTCGTCTAACTTCTACTTGTTAACCGGTAACCGATTCTCAGTTATGAATTTCCTAAATTATTTAAGCTTTATTTATGGTTCATGGATGGTAACCTTATTTGATTTCCTTTAGTTTATATTCGGAAGGTTATCTAATATGAGTAATGTCGAAATTTGATATCGATCCATTACGTATAGACAAATTTATGTATATATAACTGCAGTGTCAAACGAGGTTACAGTCCACTTGATGGTAAGTGGCTTTTGCCGTCCATGGTCACCTGCAGCCAACTTCACCCACCATTTATACGTGGTAGAGCTATGCTGCAGCTATATTAGTAGTATAGTTGTAGCATGAATGGGTCGGCTCAACCGGGGAAGGACCACGTTCTCACAGAATACCAGCGTAAAATGGCAGCTTGACACTGCTGTGTTTTGTATGGTGAGCGTAGAGAACCGGAGACCCATTTTGCTGGAAAAGAGGCATTCCATCTTAGTCCTCACGGGTGACAACGCATCTGCATAGATGATTCTTTATTGACGATAGATGTAGATGTCTATGGGTCACAGCAACCACTTACCATCAGGTGGACTGTGTGCTCGTTTGTCACCCTATCCTATATAAAAAAAACCTTGAGGATTAAGCTGGAATGCCTCAGAGCCTGCAATTATACTGGCTCTCCATACCATTCCGATTTCTTCCAGAGACACAGCAGTGCAAGCACTGCCATTGGCCTCGGAATAGGCAAAAGGGTAAATACCTACCAAGACGAACACCTGGACAGAATAAATTAAAATTAAAAATTTTGTACAACCGTCTTCAATATATATTATTAAGGATAACTCAAAAACTATTGGTCAGACCTTGATTATTTATATGGGACCACATGAGAAGCACCAGCTTTCAAATAAAAAAGAATCATCGAAATCGGTACACCGAGTAAAAAGTTATGAGATAACACAAATTAAAAAAAATTAAAAAAACACATATAGTCGAATTGAGAACCTTGTTGTTTATTATATTTTTCACTTGATTTTGAATAGTCACAGATTCTGTGCTTTCAGTCCCATAATATCTAGAACTTATCGATCGAAACAATTTATATTGATAAAATAATGTTTACCTTCTCTGTTTCTTCTCTTAAAGTCTACTCCTGGTCATGAGACACTCTTATTAAAAAAAAAGGATGTTGCACAATACCCTGAAATACCATAGTATTGTGTAGTGACGGTATAAGAATATCCACTACCCCAAATCGAACCGTGGATGTCTTAAAAGGCGACAGAGGGAAACCAAACATGAGTTTGGCAGCAACATCGTCCTGATGACAACGCAAAAATTATAAAAGCCTGTCGTTACCAACCTGACTAACAAGCGTGGCGACTTTGGCAACTATCCTCCGTATAGGCTGCCTATTCTCAGCAATGGACTTTTAATAAGTTTTTAAGAGGTATTTTGATATTTTTTTATATAGGATAAGGGTGACAAACGAGCACACAGTCCACCTGATGGCAAGTGGTTGCTGCGGCCCATAGACATCTACATCTATCCTCTATTACAAATCAAAATGCAGATGCGTTGTCACCCGTGAGGACTAAGATGGAATGCCTCATTTCTAGTAAAAAGGGTCTCCGGTTGTCTACACTCACCATACGAAACACAGAAGTGTTAAGCTGCTATTTTACGCTGGTTTTCTGTGAGAGCGTGGTCCTTCCCCGGTCGAGCCGACTCATTCGTGCTACAACTATACAACTAATATAGCTGTAGCATGGCTCTACCACGTAAAAAGTGAAAAAAATACTACAAGGAAATAGAGGATCAAATTTCACGTTTGAGGTGCCCCGTGGTTTTAGGCGGAAAAATAAAGCAACGAACGATGTATACTTAATAATTATAATTGAATATATCTGTAAACGTATTGAGTATCTTGTAATAACTATGAAGCCTTGAAACCCACTCCTACATGACATACGTGATAAAAAAAACAACAATTGTGTACTTGCATCAATGTAGGATTCAGATCAAATCTACCCGCGTCGAGTAGCCTGGTGCTTACCGCTTAGCGACGCGGCGCCTTGGTCAATAAAATTATTGTATCTACCTATTAACGATATTACTGTTGTATTTATTTTCAACATTAACTTAATAAAAACAATTGTGAATCAAAATAACTTATGCCCAAATACTCAAACGCTGCGCTGCTCAATTTCAAGATGCCGCTAAGTCTCGTGCTGTCTCTATCACTTTAACTCAAAGTGACTGTATCGTTAGGTAGCGTTTGACATATTTGACCATTAGTCTCTTGATTTAAATAAACCAAAAAAAAATAGGATATAATTATTTTGCTGTCATATTATTGATATCGACATCGAAATATTTAAGTTAATTTACGTCTCATTATTATGATTATTATGTAAAAAAAATTGAAGCTTAAAATTAGTTTTATTCTTGAACATCACCGAACTGCTTTGAAGTATCTTTTCACTACTTTATCGAGCCCTTCAGCGGTTGTGGTCTGGAAAAAAGTACAACATGTGTTAAATTCTTGTTATTAGTCAATTAAACGATTTAAAAAACCTAAATTGTCTTACGGTATAATTACATAATATACAGTATCTACAAACATACTCTATAGGTACTCTATAGTATAAACTACTAAGTAAGAAAGGTTGTGTACATATTTAGACGTTAGTTACTAAATCTCGCATAAAGGTAAACAAATATAAATTAAATTTTGTACAGAGATAGATCATATCCTGGATTATTTTTATGATTATTTATACACCTACGCTTTATTGTTATATATAAAGTGGAAGGAGAGGTTAATATCTTATGATTTCCTTTTTCCAGTCAACCGTGGGCGTAGAGAAATATTATATTGCATGTAAAAAGATAAAAAATATGGGTATTATAATTATTTACCACGGCATATATTTAATAGAAATTATGTAAACAAATATATAAATACACAAATTTACAGACAGACAGACAGTCTGTCTGTGGGACTGTGTCCTCGCTTGTCACATTTATTCTGTTAGAAAAATATTGGAAGTAATTGATGTGTCCTTTTCCGATGACTTTACAAAGTTTAACAACCTTTAATTAACAAATCTACTTCTAACATCAGTCACAGCTTAAGTCTATAACTTTTTTAACTTTGGAATTGATTGCAGCCGTGAAGCCTTTGAAAATAAAAGTACTACACGTGCCATGAGCTTACGTTGTAATTTATACCAAGATGAAATTCCGTTTTAGTAAAACAGTTTAATTTGTTTGCTCTTAAATTATCTCTTTTCATATTTACTACCATTAATAATTCAAAGAACATAATATTTTATTTCAAACATATTGTGATTTAACAAATTTTGTTTAATATCCTACAATGAGACGAAATATATTATTTATAATATGGTTTATGTATGTGTTTATTATTTATTTTATTTGTTGTGACAGTGAACTAACGTGCCTGCTTATATTAAGTAGTATATAAATTTACCGTCTAATACTTCATACTAGACTTTTTGTCCTCGAAATATTCTTATTTCACAGACATGCAGGGCCTTTCGCTGCAGTGCACATGGTGAATAGGCACTTAAAATTATTGCAATTAACAATTTAATTGGCGTTACTGGGTATCGTATTAGTGTTATTCGCATAGATAATTTAAGAGAGCTTAGTAAAAAGCAAACAGGTTTGGTAGTAGTGCAAATTAGCTATTTTACTGTACTTAAAAGAAAAAACATTGTGCGTGTCAGCTCCATCACGTGACGAGTTTACTCCCTAAAATCAATTGTTTTAAAATATATATAGTAGGAAAAGTAAGTAAATATTTATTTATATTGATTTGGTAAAATATATTACATATAAATATATGAATAATGTATATAATATACATTATTCATTTCATGCTGAGATGTGCGAGTATGTTGCGCAGAGGAAAACCATAACGGCTTCACTTTTTGTTAACGCTTGATTTTACTATGCATCTATTTTTCATGCCGTGCGCTATATATTACGTATTTACCTATGAAATTACCGTTTTTTTTTTAATTACAAAAGTCAACGTATTTTTTTTTCTATATTTTTTATTTCTATTAATCAAAGTATGTAATCAACCATGTATTCGATGCATCTTTGCCAACGCAGTGGCAGTTTATTGATGTCCTTCTTAAAGAAATCAGCTTGACGGGAGGAAACAAATTCTTCAAAGGCATTTTGTACTGCCTCTCGGGCATTGAACTTTTTTCCAAGTTATCCAAATTCTGAAAAACATTGAAATATGTAGGCGCCAACCCTGGTGAGTACGGCGGATGACATAGAGCTTCCAAACCCAGCTCTTGTAACTTGGAGAGCGTCTGTTGTAGCAGCGGGGACGAGCGATTGACCAAAGCTGGTAGGAGACGTGCGAGCTTCTCCATCATTGTGTTCAGTTCTTTACAGTACACATCTGCAGTAATGCTCATCCCGTTTGGTAAGCAGCTGTGATGAATCACACCGGCGCTAGACCATCAAACAGTGATCATCACTTTTCTAGGGGTAAGTTTTTGTTTAGGGCATTATTTAGGCGCTGAACCAGGATCCAAACAACTTGCTGAGTGCTTGCGATTTTCAAATAAAATCCATTTTTGTCGCAGATTGCGTGCGGTTCATAATTCCTTCGATTGTGTGCCTGTTGAATAAATCAATCAACAAATCAATGAGTTCGTGGGGCAGCCATTTGCAAAGCTTTTTTACCTTGCCAATTTGACTCAATAATAGACCAATATTATTTTGGTGCTAAAGTCGAAAGCTGCTGATAATTCAGCCGTAGATTGAGTATCGTCAGCTTCCACAATTGCCTTTAATTTGCCATTGTCGACCAAAGTTTTCGGGCGCCCATGGCGGTCATTTTTCAGGTCTAAATTTTCACAACGGAAGCGGGCAAACCAATAACAGGTGGTGCGTTTGCTTTTAATAAGTATTCGCTCCGTAAACTTTGTTGATGTTGCGATCCGCTTGTGCCGCGTTTTTGCCACGACGGTACTCATATTCCATAATAACTTGAATTTTTAAGGTATCCATCATAACGAAAAGCATTCAAATGCGATAAAAACATAACTAAAATAAATAAAAAAATTACTAATTTTGGAAAAAAGAAATCCATGTATTTAAAATAAAATTAATTTGAAAAATTTGAATTCTTAGCCAACCAAAAATTATTTTGATTTGAAATAACCAGTACTGCAGAACGGCAATTTCATAGGTAATTTTTTTATAGTAGAGGGAGCAAACGAGCATGCGGCTAACCTGATGGTAAGTGACTACCGCCGCCCATAAACAACCGCAACACCAGGGGAATTGCAGATGCGTTGCCGGCCTTTTAAAAAGGAGTAGGCTCTTTTCTTGAAGGTCCCTAAGTCGTATCGGTCCGGAAAAATTGCTGGTGGTAATCGATTCCACAAGGCAGTTGTGCGAGGAAGAAAACATGTTCTAAATCGCACAGTGGTGGACCGCCAATCATCCAGGTGGTATGGTGGAATGGATCGCAAGTTTTGTCGCGATGTTATCGCATCCAAGTTTTGTGCGATGGTGAAATTGAGCGGCTGGAATTAGTCCGAGCACTTCCTCAGAGCATTCCCCGTGGTAAGTGCGATAAAATACGCAAAGAGATGCAACATCTCTACGCAGTGCCAGTGTATCGAGCCGATCAGAAAGAGCTCGGTCGTCGACGCTTCGAACCGCTGTGCGCTAGATGCGGTCAAGTGGAAGGAGCTGGCACTGGGGTGCCCAGTACAGTATTCCATGAGGCCGGATTTGCGCTTTGTAAAGTTGCAAGCGATGTGCCATAAATACCTATTATGAAACGATTCTTAAGGAGTACACTCCAAAAAAAATATCTTTACAACGTATAATTTAGTGCTACTGTAAGTTGTTGCTGTTCTTACGTTTGTTGTTTCATCGTCATCCATTATTACAACGATCATAAGTCCACTGCTGAACATAGCTCCCCACCCTCTCCCCCAAGAAATGCCACAAATACATGCATCCACCGACTTACTGCATCTTTTACCAGGTATCTACTCCATCTATGTGCTAAAGTTAATACAATACTCTATGTCTACTCCTGAATTGATCTTCTTCATTAGGTTCTGACAACAAATGTTCCAACTTTTAAAAAAAAGGTTTTACAATAACTACTAACTTAGTTTAATAATTAACATGTTATAACATTTATTTGTTGTAACATGTTGCCAGTGATGGCTAGTGATAACTTTAAGTGCAAAATTATGTCTAATAATATTCAATCTTATTTTGTAAAATATATTTCACAAGTTGTACAGATTTTCAGGCATTTGTGAGCGAATCTCATTGTTAGAAATACGAATTTACTAAATGGAACGCACAAAAAAAAATTATTTAAGAGAAGTGCTTAAAACACAGAGAATAAAAATAAATTACTTTCAAACATTCTATCGCAAGTGTTGCAATTAAAAATTAATTTACTCACTGATATCATTTTGTCTGGAAAGAATTCACGGACGTGCCTCGAGGTTCTCCCGTTTTCTTCTTTCTGTATGTGTATCATTTTATTGTCTTCTATTGTTATTACGCTTTTTACCTGCAATCACTCAAATTAATTTAATTTATTTCATTTTGTCTTTTAAAATTGTAAATTTTCATAACAGCCCTAAATTACACTTAAACTTATGAAATGAAATGGTATGATAAAATGATTCTCATTTACGATATAACTTCTTATGATTTCTCCTTACTAAATTTTACTGCTAAACGTGGTAGAGCCATGCTACAGCTTATGCTATTATTATGATTGTAGCACGAATGGGTCGGCTCAACCGGGCAAGGACCATGCTCTCACAGAATTAAAGCTGCTGTATTTCGTATGGTGAGTATAAAGAACCGGAGACCCTTTTTACTGTAAACGAGGCATTCATGTTAGTCCTCAGGGGTGACAACGCATCACTGCATTTTGATTCTTAATAGAGGATAGATGTAGATGTCTATGAGCCACAGCACTTACTTACCATCACGTGAACAGTGTGCTCGATTGTAATCCACAATTTAAATAAGAAACATACACGTAAGCTCCTCTGTAAAAAAATTATAATAAACTAATGGATGTGATTAACTGTGGAGTTGCGGTGTAAGAATATCTATTATCCTATATCGTGGCGTGGGTATCCTAAAAGGCGACAGAGGGAAACAAACCCGGAGATGGGCAACAGCGTCTTTCTAATAACAACTAAATAATTTAAAAAAAAGACTGCGTTTGCCAACTCACATGCCAAGCATGGCAATAATGGCAAACATTCACCCTATGAGGCAATCTATGTGGGAAGCTTATTATGAGCAGTGTACTATTGACAGGATTTATCGGTACCGGTAAAGGTGATTGCAATTTCTAACTTTTACATGGTATAGCCTCACTGCAGCTTTTTTTAATGGCTGCAGTACGAAGGGCTCGATCGGAGCTGGCTGTGTTCGAGAATACCAGCGTGAAATAGCAACTGTTGCTGTGATTCGTATGGTGAGGTAGCGAATCGGAGACCCATTTTACTGGTAATGAGACAATTTATTTATTTATTTATTTACGGTTTATTGAACCTTACATATTATGTACAGGAACAAAAGACGGACTTAATGCTAAAAGCATTCTCTGCTAGTCAATCTTAGGGCAATGATAGAACTACGGAGGCGGTTACAAAAAAATATATATACACACATACATATTATACATACATATATACATACATCACTATAGACATATATATAAATTTATATATTATAAGAAAATAATAATAATAATAATACAATCCATCTCATACCACAGGCACGATAACGCATCTGCATTTTGATGACTAGCTAATTTCTCGAAAACTGAATCATAAAACCTACTATATTTACTGATTTTTTTTTTTATAGAATAAGGATGACAAACGAGCACACAATCCACCTGACGGTAAATGGACGCTGCGGCCCATAGACATCAACATGTATCCTCAATTAAGAATCAAAATGCAGATGCGGCGCTACCCCTGACGACTGAGATGGAATGCCTCGTTTCCAGTAAATGGGTCTCCGGTTCTCTACACTCACCATATGGAACACAGCAGCGTTAAGCTGCTATTTTACGCTGGTATTCTGTGAGAGCGTGGTCCTTCCCCGGTCGAGCCGACCCATTCGTGCTGCAACCACAATATAGCTGCAGCATGGCTCTACCACGTAAAAAATACTCTTAACGACTACCATGTTGGCCTAGTGGTCGTAAATGCGACTTGTGAATATGATCGTACCCAATCCTATGTCGGCCAAATTCAGTTATTGGGGTTTTCTTATAAAAAAACCTCAGTAGCAGAATATGTGCGCATATTCGAGCACTACGAGTATTGCACTGTCCTGAGCCGATGTCTCGTCTCTGATGAGACCGGCCGCGGTGATCGAAATTCAGTATGAAGGACATTATTATTGCACTCTTAACGGCTTCGTTTATTGCTGATAAATGTTACCTCACTATTTGCAAAGTACTAAAGAAATAAGAGGAGGCCTGTGCGCAACTATGGGACGTAACTAGGCTGTAACTTTAACTTTATATAGTAATTGTCGTTACATGTCATATGTCGGTACCTTAACTCCGTCAGGTTTAACTTCATCGAACTCGACGCCCGGACGGAATGTGACAGAGGAATTGACCAGCCTCGAATTTAAGCTAAATGTGTAGGTGCCGTTCTCGTTGAGTGTCAGACAGTGGGTGGGATGAAGTGTCAGTGCGGCTTTCCTCGCTATATATCCCACTCCTGGAATTGTAGAATATCTTTTAGTGCCGTTTTACAGATACACATCCTAGCAAGGGGTGTGCCCAACATGGGGCATGTCTGTGCGCGGTAATCATGAAATAATTATTTGATATAAAGCTAAAATTATTAAAAATTTTAAGTTTAATGTTCGCATTTTTATTAATTTCGAAATTATCGAAATAATAGATCTAATGACCATATGATCAAAATACTTCTCACAAAAATTAAGGGAGCAAAACAAAACGATTTTTACCCGATTTTTGATGGGATGTATCTGAGTCAAAAATGGTTGTATCGAAAATATAAAAAAAAAATATTTTGAAGCTCCAAGACTCTAGTTTCTGAATCTTCAGGCCATATTTTTTTTTTAAACCGCCAACGCGATCCGAATTTTTTTTTTTTGGTTAAACGACCATATGGACAAGATAGCCTGTTTATTCAGTTTTAATTTCTTCTTTTTAATTTTCGGCTACGTCTTTTCGTCGCGGAGATATCCGATATTGAATTCGATTTTTTTAGCGGCATTAATTTTTGTGAAAATTGTAGTACAGTTAACGCCATACGCAAAATACCCAGACCAGTGACTGGGTGCAACGTCACGAGTGCTCTTGTAACTGATATTAGCCACTTGGCTTGGCTTAGCTTCATCAGAATCAGGTTTCTGACATCTGAGCTGAAGTCAAATGTGCGAGAATCTGGTGCTGCGAGTGGCAGTCTACTGGTACTTTATTACATTTTAACTTTAATTTTTTAACCAAAAACAAATAATTTTAAGATTATTTCCGAATTACTGAAAGTGTAAATGTATTCGTGCAATATGAGTGTGAGGGATATCGCCGGATATAATCACTGCGTTTATTAACCTCTACGTCACTATGTATTTATTAAATTGGCGTGTTCATTTTCAAATATAAGTAATTGTTTACTAAAACAAGTGACATATATATATATATATTCCCGAAAGCTACGTAACCCAGAAAAACTTTGTCCTAGATATTATTCCTAGACTCGTTAAATATGACAAGATTTGTTTTCTTTCAAATATGGTGACAAACGAGCTTGACTATACATATGCATGAAAATACATAATATAACAATATAGGTATCTAAATAATTTTAATTATTAAGCGGAAAATAATTCCCCTTAATAATTAATTAACCAATCACACAAATGTCTCTCCATACAAGAAACATATGTGTGATTGGTTAAAAACTGAAAGCTTTTATGATTAAATCGATTTTTCGATATATAGTAATTAATACTATCATAATTGTTTAAAATTATAATTTGCGGGCAATGTACTTTTGTTAGCGAAACACAACAGCACTACATAAATTTACCAAATAAAGACATAATCTATAAAAATAATTTTAAAAAAACATACCAATAAATATTAAATATTCTTCAAAGTTCTCCGAATCTACAAACTCATATTTGATTCCGAGGAACTCTTCCATAATCACAACACAGAGTCGTTTAATCTTTTCACGTGAGTCCGCTACAGGGCGAAGCACTCTACACTGTCATGAAATTATTTTGGTTTTTATCAGTATGATGATAAAATAAAGGAGATAATGTGCCGTCGTCAGATAAGAATAGGAAACGGTGCATTAATTTCCTTGGTTGTGTTTACCAGGTGTTCTAATTACTACTATAGAATCTTTGCGGCCCTTAGAAGGCACTAAGAGGTAAAATTAGGTCCATTAAAGATTGTAGATAAAACTAAAAATATTAGCAGGTACTGCATTTTTGCAATGGCAATTTTTTTATGTTAAAATTTATCGCCACAGTAAGAGGTATATATTATCCATGAATTGCGCGGGGGACACACATTCAGACCCGAAATAATTATTTGTAAACCATACAAACACTTGTTCCATACGGGGTTCGAACCGGCCCTTGCAGCGCCGCCACCAATTGCTTAGACACTTTGCTACGGAGCCGTCTCTACGACGCATCCTTTACTATAAGTTTACTTTGGGGAAATCTATAAGGATACCTACCTACCAGGGGGACCAGGGAGAAATTATTCCGACCAAACCTCAGGAGCTCTATTACCGTCTTACGTTTGCTACGTAGAAGGGCTTCTTTTGGATCATAACTTGGTTGTGTCTGGAAAGGTAGCAACCACCCTCTTACATTTCCTGATTCCAAGTAATATATATCATACACATGAAGCTGAATGACAGAGTGAGAAATTGTTTAATAAGAGAAGAGTGTGGTTTGCAAGACGATGTTGTGACCAGGATTAAGAAAGGAATGCTTCGGTGGTTTGGCCATGTAGAAAGAATGAATGAGGAAAGAGTGACAAAGCAAATCTATGTTGCAGAGGTGAACGGCATAGTCGGGAAGGGTCGCCCTAGGCGAAAGTTTATCGACCAAATTGGCGATATATTAAAAATGGGCCATATCAAGAGTACCTTTAACCGACGAGCGTGTATGCGTAGGTATATGGATGTGGAGGAAGCGAGAGAGGTGTGTCAGGATCGTGCCAAATGGAAGTCCATAATCTCTGCCTACCCCTCTGGGTGACAGGCGTGAGTGTTTATGTTATGTTATGTATGTATGTATCACATCCACCATATAGTCCTGACCAGACTAACAGGTGAAACTCTGAGGGTGCGAGAGTTTCACCTGTTTCAATCTCTTCAGAATTTTTTTGGTAGTGTAAGGTTAACATTAAAAGAGGACTGTCAAAACTACTTGTCGCATTTTTCATCAAAAATCCCAATATTTCTACAGCAACGGGATTATGTGATTATGATCTTCAAAATGGTAACAAGTTATCGAACAAAATGACACATATATATTACAATTAAATGTTATTAAAGTTTGAAAAGAATTCTTCAATTTGTATAATATAACATATGACGAAACTTTTCCCCAAACTTATGTACCGTATTAATTAAAAAAATCTAAAAAAACATTTGAAAATGAGGAAAACATCGTGGGGAAACATGCATGTCTGAGAAATAAGAAAAATAATATTTCGCCAACGGGCATTGCGGCAGCGCAGCGGATATTTCCTAGCCCGAAAATCCTCTCAGAAATGAGAGGAGGCCTATGCCCAGCTATGTATACTTTAACCTGACGAGAAGACGTGTCGTATCTTCCGAACGCAGCCCAGCCGAGTTGATGGCGTCGGTTGACCTCTCGGTCGAAGTTGAACTTATCTAGTCGGATTATTTGTCCTAGGTAAACTACCAAGTAACAACTACCATAGATGTGACATGGACGTTACACGTGATCTTTGTTTTGTTCACGTTCATTCTAAGACCTACCCTTTGGGAGGCACTATTGAGGTCATTGAGCATAGTGCTTAGGTCCTTCAGAGATTCTGTCATATCGTCGGCAAATCGAGGGTGTACTCGCCATTGCTGTTAATACCGTATCCTTTCCAGTCCAGTAGCTTAAAACGTCTTCCAATGCAGCGGTGAGGAGTTTCGGGGATATACCGTCACCCTGTCGTACACCTTTCTGCAGTTGGATAGGTTTCGTACTCTGGTTCTGTATTCGGATAGCCATCGTAGCCCTACTGTACAAACTCTTCAGCACTTCGGTATATCGACATTCGAAGATAACCATTAGCACAGAATAAATAATAGTAGCATACCATTAGTAATTCAATAACAATGGAGAATATCCCTCTTATGAGAATGGATTATTCTGTAATGAATGAACGAATATTTCAGATGCTTTCATTTATCTGTTTTTAATGGGTATTTAACAGCAGTCGAGTCTCTAAACGTCTGTAAACGCTATAATATCTTAATTTTTTTGCAATCTATAACTTAAAATTGTATACATAATTTTATTCTTATAAAGTATGTATACATTCTCAGGTCAGAAGAGCATTTACGACAAACCGGCGCTAGACAATGTAGATCCAAGCGGTAGCAGTAAGCGTCAAGAGCCTTTGGATAATAGTTTAGAAGGTGAGATAAAGCAATTTTTTATTTATTTTTCAATTAAGCAATGAACACTTAGGCAATGATAATGAACTTTAACGTTAAAAATATCTATTTGTCTTTCGGAAATCAGCAAGTTCTAAATGAGTTAGTTAATCATAATTTTGTCGTGTAGAGGCGGCGTTAGAAAATCCACCACCCTCATCATTCCATTGGTGTCGTAAGAGACTACAGAGGAAAATGTAAAAGGAGGCATCGACTATCGGCTCTATGAGATGTATGGCCGGCCCATTGCTATTTTTTTTTTTTTATAGGATAAGGGTGACAAACGAGCACACAGTCCACCTGATGGTAAGTGGTTACTGCGGCCCATAGACATCTACATCTATCCTCTATTACAACTCAAAATGTAGATGCGTTGGCACCCGTGAGGACTAAGATGGAATGCCTCATTTCCAGTAAAAAGGGCTTTTTCAGCTTAATGGTCCTTTGAGCTATATCGGTTACTCTAGTTCTACTATGGATATCGTTTTAACGGTAGTTACTCGTATCACACAAAGAAACACCGACAAGAAACAAATTTATTATAAAAACGATATACCAAGTCACTCTAAAAGTAGTTTATAGTTAAGTTTATAGTAGTAGGTGTTGTACATGTAAGTATACTGGTTCTTCATAACTTAAGCGGAAACACAAAAGTGGATCTAATGCCGCTTAACGCCAGTAGTAATAAAGAAGGTATGATTCCAATCCAGACGGATCCCTAGACTAGAATATCATATTGAAGCTCCGTACAATTTTAGATACAACAAAGCATGCCTCGTTTGACCTGAATTTAGAGGGCTCTCGTTATAAAAATGTAAAGAAATATACAAGAGTTGAAATTGCGAGCTTCCCCGCATTCGTTCCCAGGTGCTGCTGTAAGGGAGACGCTCTCAATACTTTCATTAGGGTGAGCGATGGGACGGGACGTCAACGTAATCTCGGTAATGGCGTCATTGTTGTATCACCGCCGCCATTTTGAATCAGCGCTTAAGGCTTATGAGCTGCGTAACTTGTATTGAAAATAATTTTGTCGTTTTTATAATTGCCTTTTTGTCAAGCTACTGGCTGGAGAAGCAATAGTTTATTATGTGCTTCACATGTGGGCGTTTTCTTTCATAATAATTGAGATAGCATTTCTAAAACAATTTTTTTATTAGAAATCAAATTAAGATCACAAATATTCTGTACTACAGTATTAGTCGATTTTAGTAATTTAACCATTTTACTGTCCCGTGAGTCATATATGAACATTTCAATTGTTTAACTATTGTGTCTTTTTCCCGGACAGGGAAGTTGTGTTGTTAGAGATGAAACGGATAATGGTTTTGGCGGACACTGAATACCGAATGTTTGGCTAAGCTCTGAGCTCTAGGCCGGAGCACCGAATATTCGGCCACAATCACAACAGATTGTTGCCAGTAAGAACAACTTTTTTATTGACCATATGATTATGTGAAACTTAACGAAATTTTCACTAAGTTTCACAATTAAATATTTGTCCATCCTCACCACGCTGAGCAAGAACGAGCCAATACATCGAATAGGTAAGCAGTTCCGAAAAATTCCATCCGAAAATGAAATTTTTCCGACTGCTTGTCAAAGCGTAATTATGCATGTGGAACGCCTCTGGGACAGACAAGAAATCCTAAAGTGGAAGTGGATAACAACGGAACAAAATAAAAATACTATAGCCACATAATAATAGGAAACGACAGAATCATTTACATGTGATGCCCAGTATTATTAGCAACTACCTTAAAACTAAGGAATATGGCAACTCTTACCAAGTTAACCATAAGAAACAGTTTCAAAGACAGCCAGCACTATGTTACTTACACACGCACAAAGCAAAGCAGGTTCAAATAATATATACGAGGGCGGCACTGAAAATTTCGGGAATCAAGGAAGTGACACAACATTACTATTTAAAAATGTATTTATTGCTTTTCGAAGTATTCTCCGCGAAATTTGACACATTTTTCCATACGATGGAACCAATCATTGAGGCAACCATTCCATTCGGAAGTTGGGGTCTCCAAAATGGCCGTTTTGTAGGCGTCCACAGCTTCTTCAGGTGATGAAAATCTCTGTCCACGGAATTTATTCTTTACGCAGTTCAGAAACGACCTGCGGCAAACAAATGCTAGCATACCATTCTGAATTAACCGTTCTTTGTCCCTCAAGAGGAATAGTTGTAACATGGCCGGTTTTGGAGACAAAGGTGACCACCATTTTTTTTGCAACACTCCGTGAACGAACAATTTTTGTTGGCTTTAACTCATTTTCGAACACCCAAACTCGTGACTGGTTTTTTGTTTCGGGTTCGTACGCGTATATCCAGGATTCGTCACCTAATACGATGTTGTATACAGCATTTGAGGATCCTGCGTGGAATCTTTCGAGAGTTATGACGCACCAAGTAACGCGAGCCGCTTTTTGCTCTTCACAGAGCGAATGCGCTATCCATCGGGAAAACAACTTTTTTACACCTAATTGTTCATGCAAGATTATTTGTATTTGACTCATGCCAATGTCTAAAGTTGCCTGAATTTCGCGGTATGTCACATGTCGATCTTCCTCAATCAGCTTACGCACAGCATCAACGTTTTCTTGGGTGACTGCAGTTTTTGGATAACCTTGACGGGGATCATCACTGAGCTTAACACATCCACGTTGAAATTCAGCAAACCAACGATAAATTGTGGTTTTGGATGGGGCTTCATCACCAAATGCAGAAATCATCCGGTCAACACACTGTTTTTGTGTTAAATCACTTCGAAAGTCATAATAAATCATCGCTCTTGAATTTTCTCGAGTCAATTCCATTTTCTCAACGACTAAATAAGTTTGATAAAACCTTGTGCCAAGACCGAGAATCTTTTTTAAAATAAATAAATGGTATTCGTTTTTTAAAACCAAGGACTTTTCAATTAAAAATATTTTAATATGACAGGAACAGTGAAAATATTCTATTCCCGATATATTATTACTTATAGTGCAGCCCTCGTATCCTTCTTGTTCAGTTTATGAAATAGCTTTTAAATTGGTCCAATACTAGAGGAGGAAATGGTAAAGAGCCAAACCTCGAATTGGAAAAAGAATTTGGAAAGATACAGCAACGCTAACGCTTAACGTTACATAACATTTTATTGTTACCTTTTCCAATAAGGACGGCATATCGTCGTCTTATCAGCTATTGTTATCTTCTGTCTCGTTGGCCTGGTGGCCGTAGACGCTGATGTACGGTGTTCAAATGCCGGATCACACTAAAACAGTTATTGAGTTTTTCTGTCAAATAATTCTCTGTAGCGGCTCGAAGTCAGGAAGTTCACGGTGTTTCACCCCCGTGCCTCGGAAAGCACGTAAAATAGTTGATCCTGCATCTCTCTTCGGTCGTGTCAGTTTGACGTCCCATTGGACTATAGAGACTGTACCTGAGTTTGTACAGATGGCTAGTCTCTGTTACGGGTGGTCGCCGTTTCCTAAATTCTGTCAGGAGAATATTATTATTATTGAGGTATTAATATAGCTTTTTCATTTGATTGAGTTATATAAATATAAAAAGAAAGTGTCTACTCAATTTTAAGATGTAATGTCTCGTGGTGTCACAGTCACTTTGATTTGAAGTGATAACACGAGTCTTACCGGCGTCTTAAAATTGAGTAGTTTTTGAGTGACACGTAATTTTTATATATAAAGATTCATCATCATTACAGCCCTTCACAAGTCCACTGCTGAACGTAGGCCTTACCCAAGGAATGCCACAAAGCACGGTCTTGAGCCACCTGCATCCATCGACTTCCTGCATGTCTTACCAGGTCGTCACTCAATCTAGTGGGGGGACGCCCTACACTTCGTCCGCCGGTACGAACCGTTTTTTCCCGTCGGTTGTCGGTTCTTCAAGCTATATGGCCGGCCGATTTCCATTTCAGCTTACTAATCCGTTGGGCTATGTCGGTCACTCTGGTTCTACTGCGGATATACTCATTTCTCAGTTTATCACCCAGAGAAACTCCGAGCATAGCCCTCTCCATAGCTCGCTGAGCGACCTTGAGCTTCCTCATCCGGCCAGCAGTGAAGGACCACGTCTCAGTTCCACGGGTCATCACCGGTAACACGCACTGGTTGTACAGTCTCGTTTTCAACTTTTGAGATATACCTGATGAGAAGATGTGCCGTATTTTCCCGAACGCTGCCCAGCCGAGTTGAATTAGTCGATTGACCTCTCGGTCGAAGTTGGAGTTACCCAGTCGGACTATTTGTCCCAGGTAAATATACTCGTTAACAACTTCGAGCTTAGTGCTCCCAACAGCTACCAGCATATGTGTGACATGGACTTTTGGGGATATAACGTCACCCTGTCTTACACCTCTCTGCAGTTGGATAGATTTCGTACTCTGGTTCTGTACTCGGATAGCCATCGTAGCCCTACTGTACAAACACTTCAGCACTTCGATATACTGACAGTCAACTTGGCACCGCTGAAGGGACTGCAGCACCGCCCAAATTTTGACGAAATCAAAGGCTTTCTCATAGTCCACATACGCCAGACATAGTGGCAAATTGTACTCCTCGGACTTCTGTACAATTTGCCGAAGGGTATGTATGTGGTATACGGTGCTAAAGCCTTTTCGGAAACCGCCTTGTTCGGGATGCTGGAAGTCGTCGAGTCTGCATGCGAGATGATTCATAATGATAGAGAAAATCGGTCTGTAGTTCTTTTGGAGAGCGTTGTCGCCTTTCTTGAAGAACAAGACACTGCACTTCTGCTCCACGCCTCTGGTGTAGTGCCATCATGGAGGACGGAATTAAAGAGCTTCTGAAGGATTTCAAGTACCGGTTTTCCACCCGCTTTCAGAAGCTCCGCTGTAATTCCATCCTCGCCTGGGGCCTTGCCGTTTTAAGGTGCTGGAGAGCCATTCTAATCTCGCTCAAACTGACGTCTGGAATATCATCGGAATAGTGTCGGAAAAGACTTGGTATTGGATCTTTACTCACACTTGCGTGTGGCTCCAACGATGATGTGTACTGCTACTCATATACCTCTCAATCTCACTCAAAATCTCTGGTGTCCCGGGAACGACGCTGCCAGACTCGGTCTACAGCTTCGACAGTTGAGTCTTTCTGGCAGACAGATCTCTAGCAAAGACTTTGGAGCCCTGGTTCTGCTCGATCGCTTCTTCGATACGAGCGAGGAGATCTGTCCGTTCAGTTGCCTGTATGCTTTCAAATCTACTGAAGGCTGCAGCTTTGTTTCCCGTCTAACAGCCATGAGATTAAGTGTGTGATCGGAGAGTTTTTGTGTTCTTCTGCGGCGGGTCTTGCAAAACGTAGCTCCGACCGCATGGACAGTTTCCACGAGCTTGTCATTCATATCGTCCACTGCATCTGCATTGCAATCTTCTAGGCACTGAAAACGGTTTTGTAGCTCCAGCTGAAATGTTTCGGGAGTTCGGATTAGGGCACGAGCGAGACGGAGTGTTGAGTTGAGTTGTAATTAGACGTGACCTCTCCAACTTAACGTTTAGGTTCAGTGTACCTCTCCCCCCCCATTCGGTGATTGCTGCCGATTTTCACCCTCGCGATCACTGAGACACCACTGAACAGTTGTCGTCTGATCGTCATAATGAAATCAATCTCATTTTTGTCGAACCATCGGGGCTCTACCAGGTCCACTTCCTATGGAGCCGCTTCTGGAAGAAAGAGTTTACCATAAAGAGTCCCTCTTTCTCCATGAAGTCGGTCAGCTGCTGGTCGCTTGGGCTCCGTTGCCTTATTCCAAATTTCCCTACCTTCAGCTCACCGTTCTCTCTTGTGTTTGTTTTTTGAGTATTTGGGCATAAATATAGCACAATAAATAAATAAAAAATACATAAATAAATTATTATTGTTATCTTAATATCCTAAATCTTTATTGAATTCTTAATAGCAGCGTAACTCGTCGTATCATCACTATAACAATTGAAAGTCATTCATTTGCGGGAGATATTATTGGTTATACGTAGAGAAGCCCCGCTTATGCTGTAATTATCACTTCAGCACTCATTGGTCGGCTCGACCCTCGTAAAATAGCATCGTAATGCCAATATTGTAGTTGACGAAAACCGGAAACTTATTGGATATCAGTGTATTGCAACTTAGACATCAGAGGTGACTATACATCGGCATATTGTCACACACAATATCGACTAGTCATTAGTACTGTGTACTCGTTTATCACACATATTTGTATAAATATGAATGTGTATGTACTGGACATGCACTCGCTAGGCTCGTTCTAATGCAATGGGATCCGAGGCAGCGCTTAACTTATTCAAAATATGTACTTAGACAATTAATTTTTTTATGGGATAGGGTGACAAACAAGCACACAGTCCAGGTTGCTGTGACCCCATTGACATCTACATCTATCCACATTAAAGAATCAAAATGCAGATGCGTTGTCACCCGTGAGGACTAAGATGGAATGCCTCTTTTCCAGTCCAGTTCTCTGGTTCTCTACACTCACCATACGAAAAACAGTAGTGTTAAGCTGCTATTTTTCGTTGGTATTCTGTGAGCTACTAATATAGCTGCAGCATATCTACCACGTATATCTTTTCTTTGCAGGAAAGACTTAAGCAAGAGTACTTGATCGACTTTTACATTTATGCGAGGTGACGTTTTATTATATTAAAAATAATCCTTAACATTCTATATTACCTACATACACATTATAAATATATAAAGATATTTATTATTAAACTGTTTTTATTTTCTAATGTAAGATATGCATGGGGCGATGTGGTACGGTTAGTTACGTTATACTATGCAAGGCGCTGAAACAATTTGGTCGGGGTGTGCCAAACATGTATCTACTCATGGACATATCGAATACTACAACGATGAAATGCTACGCGTTATTCGACCACGTAGCAGTCGTAGTATTTTGATTATGGATATGTGGCGCTATTATTATTGTTCTCATTTAAATATTTACTAGTGCATATTAAAGGAAATATGAAAATTTAAATGAAACTAATTTTTACGTATTCTATCGCGTATATTAACTTATTTTATATTACCGACGTTTTGAGCACTTTACAGCACCCATGGTCACGGCTACTCTGTGACCATGAGTGCTGTAAAGTGAGGTGTACGACGTCCCAATGTTAACAAAGTTAACCACAGCCACCGCCAGATTAAAATTATTAATTCTTGTTCCGATCTACGCAGTATCAACTTATATAGTATCTTGATTTTATTAATTATAAGATCAATCCACTAAGTTGTAATTTTGGCCCAAAGTTCTTCTGACATACGGCAGACATCACGTACACGGTATTTCTGTTACGGTCTGTTAGTCTGACTCCTAGCATGCTGCGCTCCATTACTCGCTAACACACCCCGAGATCGTACCTGTGCTGAAGTTTTGGCGGGAACTTGTCCGGCGGCGGTTTGCTGCTCCTGTATTATTGTTTAAATAATGGTTTGAAGTGGACTTTGATATGTAAAAGTGGTGAAATTTTGTGTATTAAGTGTCTGCGCATGTGAACTATTAGTGGAAACTGTCAAACAAGTGCTCTGATGGTGATGTGATTCTCAAAATAAGGTGTCTGTCTGCTTAGGTGCCTTGAGATACCATCGCCAACCGTCAGCTGTCTGCTGGCTCAAGTTGCCGTCAAAATCTCCCAAGGGCTGCACAATGTGACGCATAAACATATTGTGAAGCAGTATACTATGAATGATAATCATTATAATATATTGTAACTTCAGGCTCAGAAGGGCTAGATCCCAGAGCCGTAAAGGCAGTTATTAAGAAGAATCGTACCTCTGCTGTTTGGTGAGAGACCAGATTTATATAGGATATGTCAAGACGCAAACGCCTCGTTTGCGTTTAGGGATATTGGTGCGTCGCCCTTCATTAGATGTGTTAAGGCCCAAGAGCTCTTGCAGGCGTTTTCTGTTCGTCGGGCGATCTCTTCTTCTTGCCTCGTTTGGAAAAAGACTATTTGGCCCAAAAAAACATACTCATGAACATATTCAACCTCCACGTCATCTATATGTATCCTGTGCTTCACATGGTTTGTCATTAACTTGGTCTTTTCCGTATTCTTCAGAAGTCCAACCTCCTCGCCTGGAGGTTGTTCGTAGCTCGTTGAGCATTCCTCCCAGTTCGTTGACCGAGGATACATATGATAATTAAATTATAATAATAAAAAAATCTCTCATTCCAGACATCCCCAACGATGGTCTCGTGAAAATTCATAAGAAACGTCGCCTTAACGAAAACAAATTTGGTGAAAGTTCGGAGGCCGCTCAAGTTCCTACGCTACCCTCTACGCCAGAGAAGAAGTATGAAACGCCGCAACCTGAGACTCCGCCAAGTGTTCGGTTAGTGACAATAACCTCTCTGATTTCTATGCTTCTAATTGTTATTGTTCATTTAACATGTTTTTTTTTTCAATGTTTGTATTTCAAAACATTTATTAACTTTAATTAACGCCGTAAAATTAACATTACCTATAAGAACTACTGGGCTGGACTTTTGAATTAAAAAAATAAAAATTTCAAATTCAAATCATATTTTTTTTATTTCGAACTTCACACCAACAAAGTTCGCAAAGAGCGCTACGTTCATTTCAAGTGATGCCCGAAACCAAGCTAAAACCTTCAGAACACGCACTTACGAAAACATGCATCTAAAATTTTTTGTTACCGACAAGGTGCTAGGTTCATATTATATGTTAAAAAATGAAGAGAGAACTTGAAATTCAAGTCAGCACAGCGCTCCGTTTATCTTTATTTATTGGTACCTGAAACTCAAATTTGAAGGTCAATTTCATGTTCGTGGCTCGAACAAAAAAATGTTCAATAATATCTGTGACCACATAATAAACACAAGTGTTTTGTGTTTCGAGAATTTTTGATATTTCAACAGTCCACCAAACTTCATGTTTTAAAATGTATTAAAATGTAACCTTAATCTACTTCTTAGTACGGGGTTATGTCCCTTAATAAACTTAGATGAAACACTAAATGTGTAATTAATGAAAATATTATTTAAATTATTGGTCTCCACTTTTTAACAGATGACCTTTATTGGAAGTAACTCTCAAGATTATTTAATAATTTTATTCTAAATTCAAAATTGCAGTTTTTCTAATTATATGTTCCTATAGCAAAGCAGCACACATAGTGAGTTAACATTTTTTTAATTGTTTAAAGGCAAGTTTATGTTTATGTGCATGTTACTTTTTACAAAACCCATTTGCTTTTATTAATTATATCCTCGGTTTTTTGGCGGGCATTTGACCGGATTTCTGTATTATTGTATAAGTGATGGTTTGAAAGTTTGAAGTAAAATTTATTACGTAAAAGTGGTGTGATTTTGTGTATTATATGACAGCTCCATGGCGCAGTGGCTTAGCAATAAGTTGTTGCGATGGGGGTCGCGGGTTCGAATCCCGCACGGAACAAGTGTTTGTATGGCCCACAGATAATTGTTCCGGGTCTGGATGTTTGTCCTCGTGCAATTTATGTTTGTAAACTGCCTTCCCGATACAGGAAAAAATCCTAGTGTGGGGGTAACGTTTTTTAAAAAACATGAAAAAAAGCCATGAAACAATAAATATTTGCGCATCTATTTTTGGAAACGATGAAACAAGTGCTCCGATGGTGATGTAAATCTGAATAAAAAAGTGGCTGCTTAGGGGTTATGAGATAGATATTATTACCTTAAGTTCAAACTTCACTGGAAGTCATAAAATTTAGATTTAAGTTCGTTTGAATCATCTTAAAACTCAAAAAGTAAATTTGGATTTTTTTAATTCCAAGCAGCATTAAGAAAGAAAACTAAAATCTTTTTTTTTTTAATAAAAAATAATTATGATTTAAGTAATCATAATTATTTTTTATTAAAAAAAAGATTTTCAATACACCTAAACTTTAATAGAAATATAAATTAGTTAAATAATAAATTAATTATGCTTCAAATATAATTAATTTAAAAATGGACTGTTTTGATTTTAAAGCTCATTGAATTGGGTTTTATTTTACAACTAGCTGTTCCCCGCGATTTCGCCCGCGTTGAATTTATTATGATTGAATTTTATGTGTTTTTAATTTTTTTGTGCGAAACTCTAATTATTTTTCTAAAACAAAAGTAGCCTAAGTTACTCTTTATAAGATTAGCTATATTCCAATGAAAGTCCCGACAAGTTCGGAGATTAGCCGGAACAAACAGACAGACAAAAATTTTAAAAATTGTATTCTTGTTATAAGTACCGTATATACTTTTATATGTATTTAGTAAAAATCTATTGTTTTGACATTACAAACAGACACTTCAATTTCATTTAATTTGTAGGTATAGAAAAGAGAAAACTGACATGTCCGCGGTCTTTATGGCACGTACCTACATGCGGTTACTGGAATGTTGACACTCCAGTAACCGCATGTTTTCACTGCAGCATGCAGCATTCATTAGTGTGAATTGGAATCATTTTGTCATAATTATAATGCAAAGGAAGTATCTACTCTTACTTTTTTTATTAACAGAAAAATACGTACTAATTGTAGGTAACATTTAAAGCGACGTGAAAACCGTGCTCAACTTAATGGTATCTTATATTTACACGAATACTAAATATTGAATAAAACTAATTTTACGGATTTTATCGCGTATATGCGTTTGCATAGATTAATGATAAGTCATCGCGCGCTCTGACTAGATACCGCGCTCCCTGCAAGTAACAGCTCCGTGAGTGCGGCATCTTAATATTGTAGTGTGTATAAGACAATTTGCATGATGCTAGTGTGCGTGAAAAATTGTATATGCCAGCAGCTTAACTATTACCCGATTAATGGGAAAATTTATTTTATGCTATGGCTAAAAATTATATGGTTAAAATACTTAAAAGTGAATAGTTTATTAATAACGAATGTATCAATATATTTGTGTATATTATGTATAGGTTTTTCTTCTGAATAAATGACATATAAATGATAAGGCCTCCTTTTTATCAGTTTAATTTTTTTATTTATATGTCTAAATAATATTCACAAATTATTTAAAAAAATAGTTATATATATGGTGTAATCAAAATAGTGCTTTCTATTCTACGCGTCAATATGAACAACTTTTACTATAGATCTATCTTCCAAATCGCAAGAAAAATCAGGTCTTCCATACATTTTGAGCAAGTTTGTACGAAATTTTGTATGGAATAACTGACTTTGAAATATTTTTTATAGGATCAGGGTGACAAACGAGCACTCAGTCCACCTGATGGTAAGTGGTTGCTGTGGCCCATAGACATATACATCTATCCTCGGTTAAGAATCAAAATGCAGATGCGTTGCAACCACAGAAATCGTAATAATAAGACACTAGAAATGAATTAGCGCCCGATTACTTCCAAAACCGATGTCGCCACATCTTAACACATACGCATTAAGCAAACAAATAGATATAACACTCGCACACACTTGCAATACACCGATGAAGTGTATAGGGCACTATCTATTATGAACCTTAATTTTTAGTAATTACACTGCATTTTACTCCAATACATAATGTTACACCACTGCAAGCACTTTCGATGTGTGAGGGTGTAAACAATGCTAGGGATTGACAAAAATTTTTGAAGGTGTCGATATTGTTTTTATATATTAAAATGGATTACAAGTAGCAAAAAAAACCATAGATATATACCAATTTTTTAATATTTAACAGTAATGATACTTACTATTTAAAATCGAGCTATCTATTAACAGTCAGAATACTTAATTAATCGAGGTTATAGCGTAGGTACACTTATGAAATAATTAAGTTAGAGTGATATTAATATAGAAATAAGTTTAATAAACAGAGCGGTGAGTCTTATTTTTTCTTTATGATATTTACATAGTCGTCAACTGTGTAATACCCTTATTCTTTACACTATGTTTGAAAATATAATTAATTATATTGGGTACTAAACAAGTATCTGTAGCAGTACTTTGCAATTAATATTGTCATCAACTCTACGAAACGATTTTATTGACCCGTAAAATGAAGAAATTTATTTAAAAACTGCCTTTTTTTAACTTTTTGTATCGCATTTTTTGCAAAATAATTTAAACGGATGTCCATATACCTCTCCAAAACGCATTTAATCAACTGAACTATGTGGTTATCAAGAGGAGATTGATCATACTGATGATACTGAATATCCGCAAATATATTTTTGGCAACAAAATGACTCATAGCTCTCGCAAGAAAGTGATCCTTTAATGTTTGCATTTTTACCATCTTGCCGTCCAAAAATAGTTTTTTTAAAATAGTTTCTGCTTTCAAACATATAGTTATAACATCTGCACTTGGAATTATTAGTCCACCATTGTCTTTTAATTTAATAAAATCGACATGGTCATCATTTTTATCAGATCCCAATAAAGCAGAGACACATGTATCACATTTTTTTTTTAATAAATAATGTGCAACGGACCCAGCTATGTACGTCACGACTTGTTGTCGAAATTCCGATATATCAATATCATAATTTGACAACATTTCATCAAAATAGCTTTGATTGTTCATATCTTCCTCTGGTTCGTAATTGCAAAGTGGCGTCATAGTGGTAATATTAATTTTTTGAATGGCTGATGAACAACTTAAAATGGATAGATTTTCTAGAGCAACGCAATTGCCACTATCAAAATCTTTTAATTCAATATGTGCTATAAGTTTTTTATAAATCGACATAAATTGCCGCGCCGTGGGATTGTTATTACAACCTCCATGTGCTCTTATATGACCAAAAGTCAGTTCAAGGTGATCTTGTGAAAACTTATAGCCTGGTAAATACTGAAGTTTCTTTTCATCTTCTATTACTCTAATATATATTTCTTTTAAACTGTGTATACAAGTTAATAGTCCTATAAAGCCCGTTTTTTTATTTGTTTTTATTACATATTGCCCGTCATCAAGTTTAAGAGTTTTTAAATAATCTTCAACTTCACCTAAAAAATTAAAAATGTTTTCTTTATTTCTAAAATACAAAGGTTTTTTAAAATAATTTTGGTTCATATTCCATGAATTGAGAACATCGAATAAATTGTTCAAGCTTTTCAAAAAAGTTACTGTGCCATCAACATCTGAAAATTCTATGTGGTTTAACTGGCAGCAGAATTTCAACGCATCTGCAATACTGTTGCTCATCAGCTGGGTTGCTAATCTTACCTTCATTTTTTGATTTTTAAAAAATAGGTGACCTCGTTTAAGTTTATTCGCTAAATGAAGATGTTCTTTTTCCTGCAAATTATTTAGTTTAACTAAATGTGACCATTTCACTTGGTTTCCATTACAATCTTTAAAAGTACCACTAGATTCAAATGAATTCCGAACAAGT